GGTACATTTGGTAGGATTTAGCATCAGTTGGTATCTTCTAAGTCTTTTGAATAACTTCAGCAGATGATCAAGGTGATCTTCTTCGCTTTAGGACTTGGCGATCATATCATCGACATAAACCTCAATCTCCTAGTGCATCATGTCATGAAATAATGCCACCATGAATCGTTGATATGTAGCCCCAACATTCTTCAGACCAAAAGGCATGACCTTATAACAATAAGTGCCCCAAGGTGTGATGAAGGTTGTCTTTTCCATGTCAGTCGGGTCCATTTTTATTTGATTATAGCCGGAGAAACCATCCATAAATGAAAACACTGCAAAGCTGGTTGTGTTATCTACCAAAGTGTCGATATGTGGCAGAGGTAAATCGTCATTTGGACTGGCTTTGTTTAGATCCCTATAGTCTATGCACATTCTAACTTTGCCGTCCTTTTTAGGTACGGGTACAATGTTGGCCACCCATTCTGGATACTGTTAAGAAACCCGCGACGATTTGCTTTTTGACCTCATCTCTAATTTTGAGAGCCATGTCGGGTCTGGATCTTTGAAGCTTTTGCTTGACCGGAGGACACTCAGGTTTAAGAAGGAGCTTGTGCATTACAATGTCGGTATCCAACCCAGGTATGTCTTGGTAGGACTAAGCAAATACATTTGTATACTCCTTGAGAAGAGTTATCAGTCTATCTTTAACCTCTGCCCCTAACGATTCCCCAATTTTGACCTATTTTATCTCTTTTTCAGAGGCTAAGTTGATGACGTCAATTTGTTCTTTGTAGGGTTGAAGATAGGCATCTTTGTACTTGGCCACTTTTATCAACTCTTCAGGGACTTCAGAATCCTCATCACTCTCGTCTTCGACTTGGAATACCGATGAATCAAAATCAGAAAGAACTGGATGATCATCGGATCTGGAGGGTGATGGAGGTTCTCTGCATGTGTTGAATGGGCTTAAAATCAAACACACACAGGGAGATGCAGATGATGATTTCTTTTTAGGTTATTTCAAAAGATTGCCATTTTTTCCTTTTTTTTACAAAAAAGTGAAAACAATAAAAATGCAATGAACAACAAAAATGGAGTTTAAGAAAACAATCATTCATTAATTGATCTTTTAATTGCAAAAGTGTGGCCCACGCAAAATGATCTGTCGGCCCCAGGCACGACCATGGATTAAAAACAAAGAAAATGCTAACAAGCAAAACAAACAAATTACTTCCAATTGCTCAGAACGACTTCACCTTGGAACACCAGGTCGTCTCTGCAGTTCTCTTCACCGTCTTCCTCGATAGCATTTATTTGAACACCGTCACTCACAAAGATCTCTTTCAGAGTCTTCAAGCGCTTGTTGTCAACCTCTGATTCTTCACCGAGAGTTGGTTTGTAACCCAACCCTTTCCAGACATTCTTCGCTCAAGCGTTGACTTTGATTATCTCCCCCAACCTTGTGGAAGTCCTTCTCTCATAGCGTTTTTAATGCTCTGGACGGAGGCGAATGATGGACCACGTGTAATGGTAGCATCCTCAACCAACACAGCATGTGCAATCTCTAATGCTTGGAAAGCTGTTCCAATGCATCTTCATCAGCTTTAATATATCAAAAAAAGGATAATTTTCTCACCATCAAATCCTCTTCGCCATGTACCACGACCAACTGATCCTTAGTAATAAATTTCATCTTTTGGTGCAAGGTGGATGTAACAGCGCCTGCTGCGTGTATCCACGACCTTCCTAGTAAACATCTATATGTCGGGTTTATGTCCATTACTTGGAAGGTGATTTCAAAGACTTAGGGCCCTACCATGATTGGTAAATAAACTTCTCCTATTACAGTCCTTCTTGATCCATCAAAAGCCTATTAGAGATGTGGGTCTCATCTCAGCTCCTTTGTATGCCAATTTTGCTAGCGTCCTTTTAGGAATTACATTGAGCATTGATCCTGTGTTGACAAGCACTCGGGTGAGCGTATCTTCTTCGCATTTTACAGATACGTGCAAGGCACGATTGTGCTTACGAACTTTAGTGGTCAGGTCACTATTGTCGAAGCTTAGTGTGTTATAGGCTGTGATGTTTACATCAACAGAGTCAAATTGTCCCACAATGATGTCCTTTGTCACATGGGCTTGCGTGAGTATTTTCAACAAGGCTTGTCGATGGGCGGGAGAGCTCAATAATAATGACATGATTGAGATCTTGGATGGTGTTTGGTTGAGTTGGTCTACCACCCGATAATCACTTCAGTGACTTATCCTCAGAAATTCCTCTTCATCCTCCTTGGGGATTTCTTTTCCTTTAACAGCGGGCTCCTTGGAGATAACTTCCTTAGGAGCAGCTTCTGTAGGAATAGTAATAGTTGTTTTGGGAATAGTGGCAGTCGTTTGAGGAGTAGTAAAATTCGTCCTGGGCTGATATACTCGATCACTGCAGGTCATTTTGCTTGCCCCGACGATGTTCGTCACATCCTCATGTCTTCTTCCTGTAACACCCCATTTAAATTATTTAGTCATTTTATACTTTATTGTGTGCGTATTTGTTGTGATGTCCTTAATTAGGGGTATGAAGTTAGGGGCAAGAGCGGGAGGTGACCTTAGTTGGGGTGAGGTGGACCTATAATAATAATACTAACCATTTAATAACAATAATGAGAATACTATGGTTATTGATATTATTTAATTATTATGGATAATAATATTAATAGGATGGTAGTTATTATTATTATTATTATCATTATTATTATTATTAGTAATATTAATGGGATTAAATGAGTTAAAATTCTGATTAAAGGGGTTAAGAGAGGGTTAGTGGAAGGGTTAGTCAGTTAACACGTAAAAGAGGAAAAAGACAAAGAAAGGAGAACTAGTGCAGAGGAACCAATTCTCCATTATTGTCGAGGAAAAATCGTCAATCCAAGGTAAGGGGGGAGAATGGATTTCAATATCAGTGAATTAACATGAGAGGGTAGTGAGAGGTCCTTTCTCTCATAGGATTCATGTCTGTTTTGATTCTTGATCTGAATTTCGTAACATGATGAATTCCTTAAAATTACTATTATTGTTGAATGATTATTATATGATGCTTGTGTGTATGAATCAGGGATTAATATGGGAATCGTGTGAAAATTCATTGATGCTGAGATAAACTTCTGATAGGTAACATATCTGAGAAATAAGGGTTGAGGATTAACGAAATCGAACCTTACCTAATAGAAATCATAGGAGAGTAATGAGAATAATGGATAGAGGAAGTATAGTAGGAGTAGAGAGAAACGATTGACATGAAAATATGAGTTTTTGGACGAATGGGAAGGTAGAATGATGGATCTTGAGAGGAAACTCGTGAGAATGATGAGATCTGAGGTTTTTTGACAGATCTGCTAGTCGTTACGGTCATCAGCGTCACAGAATTTCGAGAAACGATGATACATTCACCATTTCCGGTTTGGCATCATAGTCTAACGAAGCGGCCTCACTTAGCTGACTCCCAAATGATTGTGTTAGAACATAGATTGGTGTTTAATTATATCTCTATGTTTTGATGATAACTCTAATGGAATTTTGTATTTAGAAAATATATACTCTAATTTTGTTCAAGTGTTTTGTGTTTCAAATATTAAATTAAATATCATTATGGAAGCAAAATGCATCTGAACAACAAGTTACGCAAAGCTCTGAAGCATCAGATGCAAGCCATCAAAAGACTCTGAGCGCTGCCAGAAGACTCTGAAGCAGAAGCTGCAGAAGCATCTGAAGCGTAGCTGAAAGAATGGTATTTTTTTCTGATTATTTTATTTTTGATATCTTTCTCTCATGGAGCCGAGCAAATCCTGAATTTATTTTTGGGATATCAATCGAATGGGAATATGGAATATCATACTATACTAATAGTACAAATAGAATTCATTTTTTTTAGATTGTTAAAAATACCCCGACCCGAAGTCTAGGTGAAATGGATCAATTTGTTTCCATTGATATTACAAGTTCAATTCTATTTGTTTGTTTTGTTGCAAATTCTAATTGGAGTATCCAATTTCCTCTTTTCATAATCGGTATTTCATAGACGTAGTTCGGTAAAATTTCATGTGATTCAGTAAAGTAAAAAGAACAGAAATTCCATTATTGCTAAATCTATTCTATTCATGTGATTCGATGAAGAATGACAGCAAATAATGGGCTATTTTCTATAAAAAAAGGGGGGGAATAAAAAATGCTTGGGGTTGGGAATGAAGGAATGTCTACACTACCCGGATTGAATCAAATACAATTTGAAGGATTTTGTAGATTCATTGATCAGGGCTTAACAGAAGAACTTTTAAAGTTTCCAAAAATTGAAGATCCAGATCAAGAAATGGAATTTCAGTTATTTGCGGAAACATAATAATTGGTCGAACCCTCAATAAAATAAAAAGATGTTGTATATGAATTACTTACATATTCCTCTAAATTATATATATCCTCGGGATTAATTTGGAAAAACAGTCTGGATATCCAAGAACAAATTATTTTTATTGGAAACATTCCTCTAATGAATTCCATGGGAAATTTTATAGTAAATGGAATATACAGAATTGTAGTCAATCAAATATTGCAAAGCCCTGGTATCTATTATCGGTCAAAATTGGACCATAACGGAATTTCAGTCTATACTGTCACAATAATATCAGATTGGGGAGGAAGATTAGAGTTAAAAATGGATAGAAAAGCAAGGATATGGGCTCGTGTAAGTAGGAAATAGAAAATATCTATTCTAGTTCTATCATCAGCTATGGGTTCGAATTTAAGAGAAATTCTTGCGAACGTTTGTTACCCCGAAATTTTCTTGTCTTGCCTCACTGAAGAGGAGGAAGAAAACATAGGGTCAAAAGAAAATGCCATTTTGGAGTTTTATCGACAATTTGTTTGTGTAGGCGGAGATCCCATATTTTCTGAATCTTTATATACGGAATTACAAAAAAAAAAAATTTTAAACAAAAATGTGAATTAGGAGGAATTGGTCGGCGAATT